TTTACAGAGACTCTATGCATGCCAGTAGGCCCACCTTGCTCTCGAGCCCAGGACTATGGCATTTGGACCTGACTGTGGGGCATAGGGATAAATTTGGGATGGTGCTGCTGTACCATTCTCCCTGCGACCCAGCAATATCCATGTTAGGGTTGGCCAAGTTCATTTCAAATGCAATGTTTGGTTGCCCAGACTATAGATAGCAGAAGACTTCAATATCCATGGTGAATTAGAACTGTCCGGTTTGGCCCTGGAGTTCACAGATGCCATGACAACCATGAACCTATCCCAACATGTCACCTCAGCTGACCACACTTTGGACCTTGTATTCTCAACTGCAAAGGTGGATAGTGATCTGAGGGTGGGGACTGTTAGCTCCCACCCTCTGTCATGGACAGATCACTTCTTACTGTGATTCAATCTGTCTATGATGACCCCCCTCTGCAGGGAGAACAGACCCATGAAAATGGTCCACCCTCCCAAGCTTCTTGACCCAGAATGGTTCCAAGAAGCTCTGGGAGTCCTTCTGGCCGACCTGGTAGATGACCGTGTCAAAGTCTAGTTCGATAGATGGTATCTGAAACGACCTGGGCGGCTGACACAATCCGCCCGCAAATGCAAGCTGTGAATTTATTGACACCTAGAGCAGGTGAGGAAGATATCAGTTAGCACAAAACACGGCTGCAGTTAAGACCATGGGCAGTAAATAAGCTCATGCCTTTAAAAGGGCAAGAAAGAGCTTTAACATCTGGAAGATTGGTGAGGCTGCAAACCAAAAAGCGGAATTGTTCTGGGTGCTCCGTGACCTTACCAGTTCTGGCCACTCAAGCTCTTGTTTTGAGTTCACTAGTGATCAATTTGCAGGCTTTTTAAGAGCAAAACTAGAGGCCATTTGTGCCGACTTTGACTCCACCAGCAGGCTAGCTGATCGAGGGGTGACTATTGCTGCCCAATCTTTCACCACCCAGCTGGGTCAGTTTGACTCTGTAGTAAAGGAGAAAGCCTCCAGGGTGATAGCTAGCTTTAGGTCCACTGCCTCCTCCCTTGATCCCTGCCTGCCTGGCTGATCAGAGCCATGAAGGGGGCTATGATGGATTGGGTTGTGAACATTATTAATTCATTGCTGAGAGAGGGAATGCTTCCCTCCCATTTAAAAGAAACCATCATCCAATGCATCATCAAATGCTGTTTAACATCTATGTTAAGTGGTTGGGGGAGGTAATCAGGAGATTTGGAGCAAGGTGTCATCAGTACGCTATCTCTCCGTTACCACGTCTGCAGTGGAGACCATCCAAATGCTTGAGCATTGCCTGGTTTCAGTACTGGAAAGTTCAAAGTGAACCTGCTCCTGAGGGGGAGGACGTCTGATGGGTATGGGGTGGTGGTCCCTAGGCTGGATGGTGCTCTCCTCCAGCTTAGGGACCAAGTGCATAATTTGGGCATTCTTCTGGACGTGGCTCTTTCTTGGGAGTTCCAGACTGCAGACATGTCTAGATCAGCCTTTAACAAGCTTAGGCTAAAAACCCCAACTTTGCCTCTACCTAGACAAGAAGTTCCTCAGGGCTTTAGTGCAGGCCCTGAGCATCTCCCGGATCGACTACTGCAGTGCTCTCTACATGGGGCTTCCCTTGTGCCTGATTCAAAGACTTCAGCAGGTCCAGAATGCGGCAGCCAGACTGGGGGTGGGTGCAAGTAAATTTGACCACATCACTCCAGTTCTGGCTCACCTCCACTGGTTGCCCATAGTGTCCTGGATCAGGTTTAAGGTTCTCACACTCACATACAAAGCTCTCTACAGTTTGGGCCCATTTTACCTGTTGGAGCATCTTTCCTTAATGTCACCTGCCCAACCTACAAGATGATCCCAGTTGAGCTCCTCTGAGTGACCACCCCAAGGGAGGCCCATAAATCCTCTACAAGAGGCAAGACCTTCTTTGCAGTGGCTCGAACTTTATGGAACCAGCTTCTAGAGGAGTTCTGTCTACTCCCCTCCTTGTTGATATTTAGGAAGCAAAGATGTTGCTTTTCAGGGAGGCTTTCCACACTGACCCTAGCTGACCACCTTACTCCCCTCCTTTTTTCCTTCCTCTTCTTCCCCTTTTCTTCTCTCTGCTCTGGATTTATATGATGAGTCGGTGCCATCTGTTTTTAATGTTTCTACCTTTATTTTTGTTTTCTATTATATGTATTGTAACTGCCCAGAGTAGTGCCTAAAGATGTTGCTTTTCAGGGAGGCTTTCCACACTGACCCTAGCTGACCACCTTACTCCCCTCCTTTTTTCCTTCCTCTTCTTCCCCTTTTCTTCTCTCTGCTCTGGATTTATATGATGAGTCGGTGCCATCTGTTTTTAATGTTTCTACCTTTATTTTTGTTTTCTATTATATGTATTGTAACTGCCCAGAGTAGTGTCTTGATATTAATGGGAGTGGGATACAAATTGAATATATAAATATAATTTGGTTGCAAATAAACTTGCATAAGTCAGAAATGAAAATATCTTACATTTGTATTTATATTACATAAGAACATAAGAAGAGCCCTGCTGGATCAGGCCAAAGGCCCATCTAGTTCAGCTTACTGTATCTCACAGTGGCCCCACCAGATGCTTCTTGGAGCACATGAGACAACTAGATACCTGTCTCCTGATACCGCTCCCCTGCATTTGGCATTTTGAAGTACCTTCCTTTTAAACCTGGAGATTGTACATCCCCATCATAGCTTGTAACCTGCGATGTACTTTTCCTCCAGGAATCTGCCCAATCCCCTTTTAAAGACATATAAGTCAGATGTCATCACCATATCCTGTGGCAAGGAGTTCCACAGACTAGCAACATGCTGGTTAAGAAACATTTTCTTTTGTCTGTTCTCACTCTCTCAACACTCAGTTCGAGTGGCTGTCCCCTGGTTCTGGTATTGGGTGTGGTTCTGGTATTCTAGCCACTTTATCCATCCCCTGCATAATTTTATATGTCTGAATCATGTCTCCCCTCAGGCACCTTTTCTCTAGACTAAAGAGCTGTAAAGACCAAACGCTGTAGCCTTTCCTCAGAAGGGAGGTGCCCCAGTCCAGTCATCATTTTAATCATTCTCTTTTCCTTTTCCAGTTCCACTATGTCTTTTTTCAGGTCTAGCGACCAGAACTGTATGTAATACTCCTGGTGCAGCCTTACCAGCATTTTGTTGTATAATGTTGGCTGTTTGATTTCCATTCCCCCCTTTTAATGATACCTAGCATGGAATTGGCTTTCTTCACTGTCACTATACACTGGGTTGACACTTTCATCAAGCTGTCCACCAGCACACCAGGATATCTTTCCTGATCCGTCACGGACAGCTCAGAACCCATTAGCTCAGTGGTTTCCAACCTTTTTGGGACTACGGAGTGGTTGGAGGGTGTGAGCTCCGTGTGCAAGGGGTGTGGGGGTGTCACGTTCGAGTGTATGCACGTGAGTGCGACATGCCCACCTGCCAGCACAACATGCCCACTCGCGAGTGCAACACGCCCCTCCACAAGTGCAACACGCCCACCATGTGTGCATGCTGGGAGGGGGTGCGGAGATCCGTCTCTGCGGCCCACTTCCAGGAAGCCCACAGACTGGCACAGGCTGCAGACCTGGGGTTGGGGACCCCTGCATTAGCTGATAACTGAAGTTTTGATTTTTTTTGCCCAATGTGCATTACTTTACGCTTTCTTATACTGACATGCATTTGCCCTTTTGCCACCCATTTTCCCAGTTTGGAGAGATCCTTCTGGAGCTCTTTACAATCCCTTCTGGTCTTCACCACCTGAAAAATGTTTGTGTCATCATCAAACTTGGCCACCTCACTGCTTATCGCTGTCTCCAGGTCATTTATGAACAGGTTGAAATGCAACAGTCCCTGGACAGATCCCTGGGGCACACCGCTCTTCACCTCTCTCCATTGTGAACATTGCCCATTAACACTTACTCTCTGTTTCCTGGTTCTCAACCAATTCTAAATCCATAAGAGAACCTGCTCTCTTATCCCCTGACTGTGGAGTTTTCTCAGCAGCCTTTGGTGAGGGACCATGTCAAACGCCTTCTGAAAATCCAGATAGACAACATCTGTTGGTGGGGCACACCGCTCTTCACCTCTCTCCATTGTGAACATTGCCCATTAACACTTACTCTCTGTTTCCTGGTTCTCAACCAATTCTAAATCCATAAGAGAACCTGCTCTCTTAGCCCCTGACTGTGGAGTTTTCTCAGCAGCCTTTGGTGAGGGACCATGTCAAACGCCTTCTGAAAATCCAGATAGACAATATCTGTTGGTTCGCACATCCACATGCCTGCTGACCTTTTCAAAGAAATCTAAAAGGTTTGTGAGGCAAGACTTACCCTTACAAAAACCATGCTGATTTTACCTCAGTAAGGCTTATTGCTTGCTAAGGAGTCTACTGAAAGCATTCTGATATTGATCAGAATGCTTTCAGTAGACTCCTTAGATTTTATATAATGGAAAACTAAGTCCTTTTTTCTAGTGACTAGGGAGCAAGTAGGCTGTACCCTTGAAGCTGATGTTAGTAGCACAGTATATAGTACTGCCATGGATCCAACTGTGAACTACTTTAGTTCTTGTAAAGTAGTGAATTCAAAAAATTGTAATTCTAACGACTGAAAAATGAATAATATGCAGTTAATTATATTTTTACTTAATTAGTTTTACTGTGTAAAAAATTAAGTTCATAAAAAGTATGCACATGTCCTGAGTTCTACTTTATTGCAAAATGTACAATATTAAAACGCCCATTTTTTTCCTTCTAATTGTCTTAGCACCAATAAATAAACACAAATGATGATGCATAGAACTAACAAATAAACATGAAGGTGGGCCAAAGCTATTAATGTTCTAGACTTAATGCCATATTTATGCATTTATTTCACACTGAGGTAGCAGTTATCTTCTTTTAGAACTTGTTAAATAATTATTAGTACACTTTTCTAGGCAATATACTTTTAATGATTTGCATTCTGATTCACAGATGAAAGAGCTTGGTGTCATCGTATACAACTGCAGCTGCCTTGTGTTAGATTTACAAAGGATATTTGCCTTGTACAGCTCATTAAAGTCCAAGAGCAAAGTCCCACCTATGTGGTCTAAGAGAGTCCATGCAGTCTATAATTCTACAAATAAACTGACCCTCACACTAAATGAAACCAACTCAGAAATGTTTGTATCGGTGAGTTTCTTTCTGGATTTTGTTGGCTGGTTGATTGGTTGGGAGAATACTAGTTCTTTTTCATGCCTGTGCAAAACCATTTTGGAAAGTTCTGGAGCCTCAAAAATGGAAGTGCCTGTAGCCTATACTGCACAAGTGTGGCCCTGCTCTCCTCATTCCTTTTTTGTTCACCACAGCGACAGCACACGAACAATTGGTCTGGAGCCTTACTTCACTTACCTTCAGTTCTTTGTGAATAAGTTCTCTCATGACCAGCACCATCTCTTTGCAACATCTTCTATCCCTGCAAGGAAACACAATCAGATGACAGTTCTGCCAATTCCAATGGGGAGAAAGGGAGAGACTCCATTCTTGTTCCAAAATCTTCGCTTTGTTCCAACGCCCAGGATGCCACCCTTCTCTCTCCCTGACAGGATCTTTCTTCCTATGATGATGTGATAGAGAGAATGGCAAAATATTGCAGTTACCAGTTTTCAAACCAGTACCATCAGCCAAAGATGCAGTCTTCACCCAAGTTCATAAGAAAACAAACATCCCTAGTGAAATGGTGATGCTTGAGACTCACAGATCTCATCAGCCAGTCCTGACAAAAACCTTCTTCAATCCTACAAACATCCCACAGGACTGAGAACTTCTACAGGGTCCACCAGGACAAAACTAAGCTCCTGTTTAAACATTTCAAACCAAACTCTATCATTGTGCAGACGGCCCAGATGAGATCCAAGGGCTCTGCCTGTAACACCCCAAATAATAAAGAAAGTCACAAACTAGACTTAATCTCTCACAAGATCTAGTCCTCAGTGGCTCTCCATATGCACATAGGCAATTATCGGGTCATGATGGGTTCCTACCATCGATTCACCTGGAAAAAAATTCAGTCAATCATTGCCACCCTACTACCAGACAAAAAGTCTCTAACCATCTCCTTTCAGCAGGAGGTGTATTGTCTGGAGGAGTGACAAATCCACTCCACCCAGCATGTGACAGACTGTGTAGCTAAGAGCATGGCAATGAGCATCGCTCTGCGCAGACATGCATGACTCCACTCAGCATTGAGTGGAGTCAAGCCCTGCATTGAGAACTTCCCCTTTGCTGGAGAGAGCTTATTCAACAACAAAACTGATGACTTCATTCAAGACCTTCACAAAAAGAAGATTGACACAAAGAAAATGGGCATGAACACATAGCACCCAATAACTTCTCACTTCCACCCTCACTGGAAGAGATCCCTGACATACTCTCACTGCAAGGCCTCCAGTCGGTCAACCCACCACCGCCTCATCCCAGCCGTCTCATCTGCCAAATCAAAGCAAACAACCTTCCCCAAGAAGGCAGTCAAGGAACCTCCGCAGCAGTTTTGATGTGCCTCAGCCTGAACTCAACACACACATTCCTCTGCCACCATCACTCCACATCAAGACAGCTAAAGACATGCTTAGCACTGTTCATCCATGCTTGGGATGTTATTACTTCAGATGTGTGGGTCCTCAACATCATCACCCATAGATACGCAATAGAATTTTCCACTCTACCACCCAAATGTCCTTACTGCTGCTTCTCAGCAGGCAGGAGCGCAAACTCTCTGGGTTTCACCATAGACTGGGCCAGGACTCTCCTATACATGTTCCCACCCTTCCTCTGATCCAAGGCAATACTCATCACCCTGTGGTGGCCTTGTAAAGAGTGGTTCACTACTCTCCTTCTCATAGCGACCCATCACTGGTGACTGCCCCTCCACCAAGACTTCCTCTCATGTCACCTTGGTGCTTCATCTAGACATCAGTCATCTGAAGCTCACTGCCTTGAGGATATGCCTTATAGGTATCCTGAGGGAGGTGAGACACCCCTCCACTAACCATCTATATACTAACAAGTGGAGATGCCTCCAACTTTATGCATCCTCGCAAGGCCTGCCAGTCTTGCAAGCCACTGTCCTGACTTTCCTGCTCCACCTCATGCAAAAGGAGCTCTCCATCTCTTTTATTAGAGTCTACCTGGTAGCCATAGTGACGCATCAAACACCTGACTACCCATCTTTGCATCTCTTTAAACATCAGATTGTTAAAAGGTTCCTCAGGGGCCTTCAAAATGCCTGCCCAGATGTGAGACCTCCTCATGACTAATGGTCTCTCACTAGTTCTGTCACAATTCACTAAGCACCCTTTTGAGCCACTGGCCAAAATGGACCTCTGCCTACAAACCCTCAAGGTAGCACTTCTTGTGGTCCTCACATCAGCTCATCAGGTATCAGAACTCACAGTTCTTTGCTGTGATTTGCATTACCTCATTTTCTCACAAACCCTCAAGGTAGCACTTCTTGTGGTTCTCACATCAGCCCTTTGCTGTGATTAGCATTACCTCATTTTCTTCCATGACAAGGTTACTGTCCACACAGACATTCTTTTCCCCAAGGTGGCATTCTGTTTCCACATCATCTTACTTGCCTTTTATCCTTCTCTGCAGAATGACCTGGAATGGTCCTTTCATTCCTTGGATGTCAAACGAGCCTTGGACTTTTACCTAAACAGAACAAAAAAATTTAGGCAAACAACTAAACTCTTCATTTCCTACCTAGGTACCAATAACAGACTCAAATATTTTCTAAATGGATCTCTTAGGCTGTTGCCCTGACTTATGAACTGGCAAACAAGCCTTTATCTCAGACCTGCAGCCATTCAACAAGAGCGATCTCTTCATCTGCAGCCTTCATTTGAAGCATGGAGATCTAGGAGATCTGCTGAGCAGCGACTTGGTCCTGTCTATTGACATTTGTCACACACTACAGATTAGATCTCAGGGCTCAAAAAGATGCTGCATTTAGAAGAGCTATCTTGTCTTCTTTTCTGGCACAACTCCCACCTCCAATGTATAGCTCACTATACATTTTGTATGCTTACATGGACACCACAAAAAAGACTTGGTTACTGATGTACCTCTGGTTCTTTGAGTGGTGATCCATGTATCCACACAATCCTGCCCACCTCCTCTTGTTTCACCCTTTTCCTTTTTTTCTTGTAGTGGACAACTGAGAGAGGAGAGCAGGCCCACACTTGTGTGGTATAGGCTAGAGGGAAGTTTCTGAAATGGTGTCATGCAGGCAGACATACCCATTTTGTGTACATACATAGATCACCACTCAAAGGACTACAGTTACATAAGTGACCAAGTCTTCTGTGGATAATGCTATGTCAGTTGAAGAACAGTCTTTCTTGGGTTGAAACTACTAAATTTATTATATGAATTAATGTTACATATCACAATTCTAATGTCCTCTTAAATAACACCTGAGTCATTCCCATCTTATTGCCTTAGAACCTGACTGCCACTTCATCTCTGAATCCGCCTTTTGGTTCATTCATGCATTTTCCACAACTCCACTCTACAGCTACCTTGGGAAGAGTTATTAAGAGAAGGCTGAGACATGTGGTGTATATTGCACAATCACTGGCTCACATTAGAAGCTGTTTGAGCAGTTTGTTTGTTTCCTTGCTTCCTTGGAATGTTTTGGAGAAAAGTGCAAGCCCTCTAACTGAGGCATAATTTTAAGTTTTCACCAGACACCTATTAATGAGCTGTCCCCCTTTTCCTCTTCAACCATCTGTGAAAACAAGGGTTTATTTTGCTGGCAAAGAGGTAAGAGAGGCAGGATCATGGCAGGGACAAGTTATATAAATCATATCAGCAAAAAGAAAAAAAATCAGATACAAATAATTGGTTTAAATCATGTTTTCCACTGATAAACACAACTATTTCCTAAACACTGTGTACTTTGACTACTAAACCAGGTTGCTTTACAGTTGGAAAATTATGTATACCACTTCATTCTTCCATCTTTTTATCATACTGCATCTTGCATGCTTTGCTTTTAAAAAACACATATAGGAGCAATATCCTACAAATATTCCCATATGGAATTTTTCTGTAACCAAAATGATTGAGTTTCTTAGGCTATATATGGAAATATAGAATATTGTGCATTGGATAATTTTGTCTTCTTTTTTTCATAGTGTTGCTCTTTAATTCTTGCTTCTGCCTTGGCACAGTTCTAACCCCACAAAAGTGTCAAACAAAAATGAAATATCCATGAGTGATAGGTAGATGGATATTCTGATATTCTACAGCAGTTTATTTTCATAGGTGCCTGGTAGGTAGGGTGTAAATATATTCGAGAAGTAATCAGATTGGTACTTGATTGATTGATTGTATTTACATCCCACCAATTTTCCAATTCATTGTAAATGACTCTTCTTCTTCCCACTTTATTCACACAACATTCAGCACTAATCAAAATAAGAGTGGGCAGCTTATGTTTTATTTTTCAGTGTACATTCTAATTACCACGTATCCTTTCTATACCTTAAAAAGGCCCCTTTAACCAAATTTATCTGATAAGGGCACTGCATGAGAGATGAACTGTACCATTAACATTATTGTAGATGAATTATTTTGAGAAACTAATATCTCAGAGAAAGTATTTATAATTTTTTTCAAAAAATCAGTGTTTTTATCATAAGTTTTTATTCACACTGGTTGAAAATCCAGCCAGTCATGCTGCAGTATTTGCACTCTTCCACTCTCTGTGTGCCCCCACCCAAACAGCAGTTACTCCCAAAACTCTATACTAAGTTCAAGGTTCTAGTTTAAACTTTTGAATAGGGACTCCTCTTTTTTTGGACTATCACTGTCACCAACCAAGACGAACATTTAGAGTTCCCTTGCTTGAGTTCACCATACATACATGCTTCTTACACCTATTATGCTATAACTCTACAAAAGCTAAGGGCTTACTTTTCATTACCCCTTTAAAATTAAGATTGATTGATTTAATTTGTATACTGCCCCATTAGAGCAATGCACTATTCTGGGCAATTTACAGCATGAGAAAATAAAAAAATACAGGAATAATAAGATTATAATATAAAGATTATGTTCTTAACAACTTTCGTCCAATTTCCAGCATACCTTTTATGGGAAAGGTGATGGCTAATCAGACATACCTGGAGTAGCAGGATTGCCTTGACCCATTCCATTATGGATTCAGGCCGCAATGGGATAGTGAGATGACCCTGGTGGCACTGCATGATAACCTTTTAAGGGAGGTGGACAGAAGTAATTGTACCCTGCTGCTATCTCTCAGTAGCTTTTGACACCATCAACTATGGTATCCTTCTGGACAGGATCTCAGGGATTGGGATTAGGAGCCTAGAATTAATCTGCCTCTGGTCCTTTCTTGAGGACAGTGTCCAGAGAGTGCAACTTTGGGATGAGTTGTTGGCCTCTTGGACCCTCAACTGTCGTGTGCCCCAATGCAATATCCTCAGTGCTGTTTAACATCTATGTTAAACTGCTGGGGGAGGTCATCAGGCAATTTGGAGTAAGGTGTCATCAGTACGCTGACGACACACAATTCTCTCTCTCCTTTAACACCTCTGCAATGGAGGCTGTTCAGACACCTGAGCAATGTCTGGCTTTGGTACTGAAACAGACCAGGGCACACAGGCTTAATCCTAACAAGACAGAGATTTTGTTCCTGTGGGACCTCTCTGAAAGGTTGGGAGGAAATAATCCCCAGACTAGATTGTGCTGCCCTCCCGTTTAGGGAATAAATTCGTAATTTGGGCATTCTTTTAGACCTGGCTCTTTCTTGGGATTCCCAGATCATAACCGTGTCCAGGTTGGCTTTTAATCATTTTGGGCTTATTTCCCAACTCTGCCCCTACCTGGATGAGGGTTCCCTCAGGATGTTGGTGCAAGCACTGGTCATCTCCTGGATTGACTACTGCAGTGCTCTCTTTGTGGGTCTTCCCTTGAGACTGACCTGAAGATTACAGGGGATCCAGAACGTGGCAGCCAGACAAGCAAATTTGATCACACTACTGCAGTGCTGGCCAGCCTCCACTGGTTTCCCACTGTGTTTGAGATGAGGTTCAAGGTTCTGACACTCATGCATAAAGCCCTTTATGGTTTGAGACCATTTTACTTGTCAGAGTGTCCTTCCCCAAGGCCATCTGCCTGACCCACAAGATCTTTTCAGGCCAGGCTTCTCCATGTAGCCACCCCAAGAGAGATCCAAAAGTCATCTACTAGAGGAAGGGCCTTCTCAGCAGTGGCACCAAGGTTATGGAATCAACTTCCAGAGGAGCTATGCCTGGTCACATCCCTGTACTCATTTAGGAGGCAGTTAAAAACACTACTTTTCAGGGCGGCCTTTCTCATTGACCTTAGTTGAATGCCTCACCTCCAGTCTCGCATCACTCTGAAATTAGTTTGCACCATTGGTTGTTAAGTTTTTTTAGACCATGCTTTTGGTATTTATGTTGTATCTTGTGTTTATTTTACTGTATAGCTTGTTTTAACTGTTTGTAAACTGCCCAGAATCATGCTTGAGCACTAATGGAGTGTATATATAAATCAAAGTAAAAGAAAGAAAGAAAGAAAGAAAGAAAGAAAGAAAGAAAGAAAGAAAGAAAGAAAGAAAGAAAGAAAGAAAGAAAGAAAGAAAGAAAGAGTCACAAAAATAAAAGAAGTAACAACAAGAGGTGTATTATCCTGGTAACAGGATAGACATTAGACATTGGGATCACGTAGGGTTGCTATGGAAGGTCTCCCATGTGTGCCATTATTAAGGTAAAACAAAGCTGTATTTTACCTAAAATGAGAAGTTGGGGCTTCCTTGCTGTGGTACCAACTCTCTGACCCAGCTCCTGGTGGAGCTGCACCTGGCTCCCTCCCTCTCAATGTTTAGAAGGCATCTCAAAACCTTCATCTGGATATCAAGCTCTTCATGAAAGCATGGATACTAGGCTCCTACTGTAATAAAAACAGAGAGTACATCTCTTAAAATACTTGAAAGTAAGAATATATGAAAGTAAAATACATTTCTTCTCCTTTAAACATATTATATAGACAGACACAGAATACAGTAATGTTATTTAACAATATTCTCACCTGGTCAAGCCAGTTTGCATCTATGGAGGTAACTCCATGATGTTTGTGTTTCTTTCCATCTTATGGAAATGAAGCCTGCAGCTGTGCTTCTCCATGCCTACTCTTCTTTGATGTCTTGTGCCCAGTGCCTGTGTTGTTGGTATCCGGTGTATGTGGCATGTATGTATCTCTTGCCTCCTTATATTTATACTTCTCTCGTGTGTTTACAATTCCCTTTTGCCAACCCAACAAACCACTGGCAGCATGGGCTGCCTCTTTGGCAGGCTGCTTGGGCATAACATTGCCAAGCTAGCAAAATGCTTTTGAAGTAAACTGGAAAGGTACCAATTTACTTTAACTACATTTCAGTACTCTGCAACTTCCTTCCCATTGTTCTGCTTTTATTTCCTTATCAGTTGTTTACACATTCAACTGTCAGCTAGCTAGGGAAGAGATACCTTTGTGAGGCAATGTTTTTGTTATTTATTTATTTTTTACATTGACCTTGCTTTCAGACATGGCTGGAGAGCTGACATAGATTCACATGACTTTTATAACAGCTGTCCAAACAACATTTTTAAAGCACAATATATGTTTCAGGGTTGCATTTTACACTCCCCTTAATTATTCTATCATTCTATACATACAAAATATCAAAACTCAACAATGGCATCTTATAAAATCACTACTTTTTCCCCCTGGAAACCTCCCCCACCACACACCCATGCTCCTTTCTGAATTGCATATAATGAGGAATCACAGCAATAGGGAAAAAAATTCTGTTTTGACTATCTCCCTGGTTATATGTCATGTCTGGATGATACTAAAACTGTATGCTCTCCCTTAAGTAATCATTATGGTACAGTTGCTAAGCAACAAAACATCATCTTTCTGAATGGCTGATAAAAACAAAAGAACATGCAATTTCCTGCGTAAGGCCATGGAAGCTGCTGGCTGCCTTTTAGTAGTAATGACTTTACTGTACTCTTGTTTGTATTATTTATTGTTGCATTATCACTCACACCCAGACAGAGTGTTACAATGATGCAACTATACCATATTCTTCAGTCCAGGCTGGGCATAAGGTTTACAAGGAATGAAGAAGATGAAATAGAGCCTAGAAAGTGAAGGTAACAACATGGAAAAATGGAATAGAAATGTTGTTACCATTACTGTTTATGTTTACAATTCCTTTTTGCATAACAAGTTCTTTAGCTGAAAAAGTAATACATGAAAATACAATATGAAAGAACCTATTAAAATTAAAACAGAATGCTGAATTACTACTTGTCTAACACACACACTAGATATGCAGATTTTATACAATAATATTTTAGAGCAGCAACAATGACTACTGTCTTGCAGAGCACATACCAGAAAATATGACTGAGATATCCATAAGAACTAATCTGAAAACTAGAGAACTTGACAATGGTGAGAGATGTCAATAGTTTTTATGCAGGAATGTAAATAGGTAACATAAGATTTGTTTTTAACATTTTAGAACCTTGTGCACGATTGCCAACTCCTCATGAAGGTCTAAAGCATGTGGAGTAATAATTCATGGCTAACCTTTATTTCAATCTAAACATTAAATTTCTCTGTATTACTGCAATACAGAATCATTACAGTGATATTTGAAAAGGCTGACTTAAACTCTGTGGCACATGATACAATACCTTCCTTAAGCCATTTTAAACAGATCGCCTATACTATACTGTGTAAAGTGTAATAGCTTTGTGTATTTATCTTCACTGAAGAAAGATGAAAGGGTAAATCATAATCTCTGTACAGTTTTGACCTTTTTATTTTCACAGAATTCTCCCAGGCTCCTTTGCCCTAAGGACAGGATGTTGGATACTGATGCTATCTATAGTGTTGTAGATGATGCTGAACAGTTCATCTATATAGCTGTTATGGACTATCTGCCCATTATCAATGTCACAAATGAGACAAGGTTAGTGAATGCCACAGAACTGTATTTTTATATTGCTGTAATAAAAAAAATTAGAAAATTTTGTAGGGGAAAAGTTCAGTAGAACACCTCCTCTCTTGAATGTCAGTGAATTTTAGATGTGAGATTCAAGGCAGAGGATGATACAAATGAAGTTGCAAGAAATAATTTCAATTTCCAAGTACAGATACCATGGCCTAAATCCAGTTTCTTCTTCGTGGTCTCTGTGAATGGACACTAATGGGTTTAGTGCACCTCCGCAGAGTAACCTCGGAACATTCCAGAGCTTGAGCACATGAGCACATGGTGCCGGGACCTCCCACACGCTATCCTTAACCCCGACCCCAGCACTGAGTGCCTCAGTTCCGTTTTTGCTGCTACTGCAGTAGCACCTCGGATTTGGAATTTCTCTCATTAAAACAAACAAACAAATTTACCTTTGGACCTTCCGGATTACTGGCTCGGACCGTCAACGCTGTATCTCGCCTGTGAGTTAAGCGAAAGCAAAAAACTGATTTATATTTTCTGTATTTCATCGCATCTGCAACTTTAGCTTATGGCCGCTTCGGGCCTTTTCAAGCAATGTAAAACCTGCATGAACAAAATAGCTAACTCTGGACATTCACTCCCATTGCCTATTTTGTTTGGGTGAAGAACATCAATTGGCCCTTTGTGTGGCTTGGAAAAAATTTACCATGCCGGCACTTAAGCTAAGGCTTCAGCGTCTTTGCTCTTTTTGTGGGAGAAGTCTCGCTGGGGAACCGTCTATGGAGCCTTCACAGTCTTGCCCTTTGAAGACTTCTAAGATGGTGGCAGAGTTGCACACATCTTCCTCGAGCTCGAGGCTGATAGTCCCAGCACTGATACTGAAGCCACCCTCTGGTTCGGTATCAAAGAAGAAGAAAAAGCCTTCGGCCTCTCAGAAGCCCATGACGACTGTGGACAAAGCCACACCATCGCCTTCAACATTGGTTCAACCCTGGCATGTCTCACTATGCCTCAGCATACTGTCAGGAGATGAAGAGGTTCCTCCCCTGAGGCCAGTTGCCATGCCATCCCCACAATTCAGTCAGTCTCCAGACTGGGGGGATACCTCGGCTGAGGTGGTACAACTGGCACAGGCTAGCCCATGTTCTCATTCAGGCTCAGTTTGTGGACGGGCATCGATATCACTGCCAGAATCGATGTTGCCCGAGGCTCCTAGGAAGAGAAAACATAAAACTCACCACCATCTCCTCAATATAGGTCAGTTCTTCAGGATGACTATTATAGACGCCAGGGCTGGAAGAGGTTTCGATGCTATGGTCACTCTCATTATTATTATGTCACCAAGGCACTTCACTTCAGACCACGTTCTTGGTCACCATCACCCTCACCTCCGCAATACTGAGGGTATGCAGAAACATACTTTTACCCCAAAGAGGATCACCGTTTTGGGTTGGGGTCACAGGGATATGCTAAGTGGGGTTTGCTAAAGGACTTTGTACCTCCAGCTGAGCCAAAGAGATTTAGTCCCTCAATGGCTCCAACACACTACTCTCGACAGGCTTCGGGCTCGGGCCCTTGAGCTTCGCTTGAGCTGCCACTTCATACAGCTGAAAAGGAGAGTAGAAGAGATTGTCTTCCTCCTGTCGAGGAATACTGATCGGATTCCCCTGTGATACTCTCTCTCTGGCTCCAGAGCATATCCTGGATGACTTTGACAGTGATTCGGAAGCCTCCGAAGTCGATGTTGATAAAGACTCACCTCCAAATGTCCCACCCCGGACTCAGATGTAGCAGAAAACCACCTTCCCTCACAATTGGAGGATTATTCATCTTATTCTCTGTTGATTCAGAAGATTGCGAAGGTGATGGACCTGACAATTGATCAGCAAGTAGTGGAAGACATAGACAAGGTATATGAGGACATTACACAAGATCAGACTCCTCATCTCCACCTCGCATTCATCTCTTTGCTCTTGAAACTCACCAAGGAGTCTTGGAACAAGCCATCTACAGCCCACCAAATACCTAGAAGGGTAGAGAATCTCTATAAAACCCATGTAGATAACACTGCTTTTTTTCTCGAAACATCCGCTCCCCAACTCCTTCGTTGTCGACGCCACACAAAATAGAGCTCGGAAACACTTGGCATCAACTCCAAGGAGGGTAGGAAGCTAGATATTGTCAGCCATTGCTTCTACTCTGTAGCTTCCTTTATTCTGAGGGTGGCTAACTATTCTGCAGCTATTGGGGCCTACCATCGTCATCTATAGGATCTTCCACCTGCCCTGGAAGCCACCTCTGAGGAGGCCTGGGCCATAGGTTTGGCATGCCATCAGGAGGCTATGGCATCAGCGTGTCAGGAGCACATAGCAGCCTGGCATATTGTGGATATAGCAGATAGCCGTAGCAGTGACCTTGTGCCACCATGCTTGGCTGCGGTCTGCTGGCATTTCTGATTATGCAAGGTCCAGGATCAAAGAACTTCCCTTTCATGAGGTGGGTCTATTCAATGAAAAGACAGATGAGATCCTGGACAACTTGCTAAAGCTCAGGAAGATGGCCAGGTCCTATTCTAACCAGTACTGTCCACGAAATACCTGGCACCATCCTTATGCTTACAGATCTTTTCAGGACCGCCAAAGACCTCAGGCCTCTGGTCTTCGGCCTCTGGTCTTCCGTTGACACCCTTTCACCAATAGAGGAGCAGGCAGCACCCTCACAAACAGGCACATTGTCCTGACTGCAGACCCCAGCACAATCTTTGACTTGCCCAATCCACAAGCAACCATTGACCCCTCTATTCACCTAACCGCCTTTTTCTCCATCTGGCAGAGCATCACCACAGACTCCTGCATCCTCACCATCATAGTCAGGGGCTATGACATTGAGTTCGATGCTCTCCCTCTGATGGGTTTACTCAAGACCACCAATCCCTCACCTTCATTGGAGAACAAGATTTCCTCTCTGCTTCAAAAAGATGGCATCATTCCGGTTCACAACCCACATGTAACACTCAGCTTCTGTTCCCGGTACATCACCATCCCGAAGAAGGATAATGGTCTATGCCCCATCCTGGACCTCCGTCATGATTTCATATGATCTCCCTTGAGGGCACCATCCAGATGCTCAGGTGGGACAGTTGGTTCATGGTCATAGACCTCAAAGATGCCTATTTTCACATCAGCATCCAGCTGGATCATCGCCATTTTCTCAGGTTCTCTATCAAAGGAGTGACCTACAAATTCAAGGCCCTCCCCTTTGGGTTGCCGACTGCCCCTCAAGTGTTCACAAAGTGCTTAGCCCCTGTGACAGCGCATCTCTGTTTACAGCCGTCAGAGTGTTTCCTTATCTGGGCAATTGGCTTTTGGTAGTGCAGTCTTGAGCTCAGGCCGAGAGAGACACGCCATTGACTCTCTTTTGTCAGCACTATGTCTCCAGGTCAATCTGGAGAAGTCCACCCTACAGCTCACTCAATGGGTATTTTATATCGGAGCATGCTCGACTCCTCATTAGACCATATGTGCCTTCATAGTAGAAGACAGGATAACAAAGATCCAGCTTATGTTGAGGTTTCTCCCTCGGCCACCATACTCTGTTGGGCCTCAGGGCGTCTACCACAGCTGTAGTCCAGCACGCACACCTGAAAATGAGGTTCCTACAGGCATGGTACCTCTCTCTCTTCAATCCTGTGCTCGATTCCCCCATCTAAGCTGCTAGTGGTCACAGTTGATCTGGTGGGGTTGTCAGTCGAACCTCCTAATTAGAAGGTAATTCAGATGGTACAGATGACCACGGATGCCAGCCTGACTGGCTGGGGTGCACACTCAGGAGGCTTGACTGCCCATGGCCTATGGTCTGCAATCAAGACCCGTCTCCACATCAATCACCTGGAGTTGCTTGTGGTTACCAAGGTTTTTCAGGCATTCAAACAGCTCCTTGCAGGCCATGTAGTTCAGATGGCTTCGGACAACACCACAACAGTCTTTTATATCAACAAGCAGAGAGGCAGTGACTCCCTTCCCCTTCTTTATCTGGCCATTTAGCAATGGGAGTGGTGCTATTTGTTGTTGTTTAGTCTTTAAGTCATGTCCAACTCTTTGTGACCCCATGGACCCGAGCACACCAGGCTCTCCTGTCTTCCACTGCTTCCCCGAGTTGGGTCAAATTCATGTTGGTAGCTTCGATGACACTGTCCAACCATCCTGTCCTCTGTCTTCCCCTTCTCTTGCCTTCACACTTCCCAGATTGAGAAGGAGCTATTTATAAGCACCCTCTGACAGATCTTATATCTAGCCCACACCGAGATAGCTTGCTAATCAGAATATCATGGGGCACTTTGTCAAAGGCTTTGCTGATGTCCAGATATATTATGTCTACAGCATTCCTGCTGTCTACCAGGGAGGTTACCTGATCAAAAAATGAGATCAGATTAGTCTGGCAAAAGTTGTTCTTGACAAATATGTTGGCTTCTAGTTATTACTACATTGTTTTGCAAAGTGACTGCTTTATAATCTAGAAATCCACTTTGGCTGATTATATGACCCAGCAGTAAGATGAGCCCTGCATTCTGTTGCACATTGTCCTTCAAATACAGCTGTGGGAAGATTATTCCCTTGCTTGGTCTAGTAACAGGTCCTGTTCATGTAGACTACAATAGACAAGAGTCATTTGTTTCTCTTTTTCTTGAGCTAGCAAGTTGTGATTTTTTTTCCTTTTTAAAATATAAAATCAAAATAACATTGGCTGCTCTCTCCTTAGGTACTGGCCATATTTGGATGGAAAGATAAGAGAAGCTCTGATTTTACGCAATATTAAAGTACGACTCCTCATAAGTTGCTCAAAAGAAACAAATCCACTCACATTTAACTTTGTTTCATCTCTTAAAGCAATTTGCCTTATGGGTTCTAGCTGTAATTTAAAAGTTGTAAGTATTCCTTGTTGCTTCTTAAAAATCTAAAAAGAGTGATTTTTTTCCAGCTGCCTTATGAAACCACATTTCATTTTAATTATATAAATGATTAACCTTTGCTCACTGCCAACTAAATCACACAATAATATTTCCCATTCTTTCACTATAGTATAGGTATCCTTGTGTTAAATATCTCAGTTTACCTGTATACTTCTGCACCTTTTTGTTCAGGGCACCTGCTAAGACTACATTTTATTCTCATGTTTTCCAAGCAGCACATTGTGATGCTGTGGTGTGTGTCTGTATTACAGTGTTGAGCACTATTGAGGCATGCATCAGAACTGTTGTTTATACACATGCATGGATTCAGCTATGGCTGTGAAGAATCTTAGGATCATAGAGTCATAACAAACTAGGACTGGAAGAGACCTCTGTGACACAGAGTGCAAACTCCTGCCAATGCAGGAAATCCCTAAAGCATCCCTGGCAGATAGATGGTCATTGATATGTCTCAACACCTCCACAGTTGGGAATCTATGAGGAAGCCCATTCCATTGTCAAAGAGCTTTCTGTGTTTGGATGTTCTATCTAATGTTGAGTCAGAATCTCTTCAACAACAAAAACTGGCTGAGATAGTTACCTTCCTTTGCCACTTCCTCTGGATGCTTCCTGATAAGAGTGCAAGCTCTCATTCTCCTGGATCGCTTTTCAGTAACAGCTGTGTACATCTGCATGCCCTACCCTGTTGTAATGTGAGCTTTTGTAGAAAGTGGACTTGTCCACAAAAGCTCACATAAAAATATAACACTTAATCTTTAAGCTGCCACAATGTTTTTGTCTTTTTTTGGGGGGGGGGTGTTTGCCTGATACGTTTTTATTTTTATTTTGGTTTTGCTTGATACATCAGCACAGACTAACATGGTCACCTCTTCTGAAACTGCTCTGTTGTATGGCAGTGCTGAACATAATCACTGTACTTTCAAAAACATGGTGTCTAATCATCAAATGTGGCTAATCACCTTTGACAATCAGAGGCCATGTTTAGAAAATCAGCCTTTAAGTTTTATTCAAAAGAATAACACTGGCAAACATTTAATATGTGACAATGTTCTTATCAGTTTTGCCTGAAGATCTCACCATGGGCTTCATGGAAATTTCTGGAGATGATTTTTGTTTTAAAAAAACTGAACAGAATGACTGGGATGGGCAGCTTCAATTTTTGGCTTGGGAAGGACTAGTACAAAATTCAAAATAGGCACTTTTTACTTTGAAAAATGTTTTTACTTAATTTCTTTCAAGAGGGAGCTCTTGCAGCATGTACTCTTGGCAGGCTGTGGAAATGCTTCTGAGTACTGCATGTAGCCTTCAGGAAATACTTTGCCCACCTCTGTTAAAAATGGAGGTTATGTCATAATTTCATATTCTTCATTTTCACTTGTTCATATGTGTTATGTCATTTTTTTCCCCTGATGTGCTTTCATGGCACTACTTTTCTCTAACTAGGTATCTCTCTCTCTGATGCAGAAATTCTTTGATCTTGAAGAAGAATGTGCTTTCACTTGTAAGGATAACAAGAACTCCTCTGTTCTGAAGCTAAATCGCAACAAATACATGGTAACTGATAGATCCGCTTATATTGGTAAGTAAAGCACTGAATAATTTGAGAGTGGATAAAATATGCAACTCCAAATATAAAAGAGTAACGTGTTATTTAAAGAAGAGCTGAAAGGTTAATTTAAATAAACCTTATTTTATTGGTAAATATATCATATAAAAGATTAGGCATATATGGTGTGATCTGTCACCTACTCACTCTTTATGTATGCAGTAGAGCAATGGTCCCCAACCTTTTCCCAACCGTGGACCGGGGCATGGCACACTTGCAGGGGTGTGGCGTGCCTGCAGGGGGGCAGAGTGCACTTGCATGTATGCACACAGCAGCGCTTGCTGGGGGGCTCACTCATGCATTTGTGCGGCAGCACTCACAGGGGGCAGAACATGCATTGAGCACATTTATTGAAGACTAAATGTGCATGGCGGTGTAGTGCTCATGGGGGGGCCAGTAGATTTGCGTCCACAGCTCAGTCCTGCCTAGGCCGCGGACTGCTGCCGGGTTGGAGACTCCTGCAGTAGAGAACATTAAAGAAAGTGCAGCCTGCTTTTTAGGAAAATAAAAAGGAGGGTTGTTATTCCACAGCACTAATTCCAGTGTTAGCTTATTATTGAATGGACTTTCATTTGCTTATAGGTAATTTTGACTGGGTTGGGACCTATTTCCATCAGAATGCTGGAGCTGGCCTTGTCATCAATCAAGCAGATGCGGGGAACAAAACCGGCATAATCAAGCAACTTAAAGCTGTGTTTGAACGGGATTGGCATTCACATTATGCTAAAAGTTCACCAACGAAAAACTGTTCAGGCTACAAACAGAACAAAGCAGCAGCCAATAAGACTGCCATAACCAATGTACAGTGAAGCCTGCTTTACTGGTTAGTTCAACTCATTGATAGTTAGAATGGGATTGATACTGACCCTTCTTTCATATTTGTGGACAATAGACTTTTTTTAAAAAAGCAAAAAAATTTATAGGAAAAAGCACACTTATATACAATGTTCTTTAAACTATATTCTCTATACTGTATTATTTACAAATGTTAGATTTGTTACTGCTGACACTGAATGTCATTCCTGCTTTCTTATTGGTTTTTAAGTATCATATTTGAATTTAAAAAGCATGACCATGCAGTTATAGGAGCATTCCTACCTTCCTTTTTTATTTAGCATAAATCAAGTAGAAACAAAGCAAGTAAATTTTTAGATTGTTTGATAGTAAAATACAGAGTTTACCAAAAGGAAAAAATAGGGCACAGAGAAGCCCTTTGTCCATATAAACATGGATATAATCATTTATGCATATAACCCTAATATTTGCCTGCATTTATCACAGTCTACCTTGTCCAGATGTGTTTTTATAATTTATTTTCTTGTTCTGCTCTAACCATATTGCAAAGGACATTAGCCGAATCAACTTCAACCTTTCTGCCAGTGATGCACTAATCTAAGTTTGTTTTCTCGTGAATCTTTTATCATGTATGTCTTTCTTTGTTCATTGTAGGAAAATATTTCTAAATTGTTTTCTTTCTTTTTTAATGGGAAAGCAATGGTTGCATGTAATTTTATTCTCTTTCAGAGTAGTTATTTGGAGGAATAATAAGGTTAAATCCTTTCTGTAGGACTGATAATTTTTACAGTATTTGTTTTCCTAGATTTTTTTTAATTAATAGGATCATAGTCCAGGCAAAGAGCCCATGCCAATAAGGCTGAATAGAGCTTTGTTCCTTGCTACCCACTGTCCAGACAGGTAACATTATTATTATTATTATTATTATTATTATTATTATTATTATTATTATTATTATTATTATTATTATTATTATTATTATTATTATTATTATTATTATTATTATTATTAAAGGGGATCCAACATAGCATAAGAATATTATGGGGAGTAAGATATTTGTTCACACTTTCGATATCTCATTCCTTCACTCCATATAAATTATTTTTACTTAAAAGATAAGTACCTTAGAAAATATAAGCTTTATCTATCCAGTGCTGTGAATATGGTAGGGGGGTGCCTAGCTCCACCCCTCCATCATCACCCCAATTTTCCAGGGCTCTTGCTTACTAAAGCTGTGAGCAAAGTGACAGCAGAAGGAGCAGGGCTAGGTGCTGCCATCTTTCCGGATTCAGGACATTGGCTAGTGTGATGCCTGAAAAGGCTATAGAGAGAAAGTGATACAGAAGCATGTAGAGATATCTCATTCCCAAAAAGCTCCTCTGGTTGCCTCAGCATAGGCACATGCACATTCATAGGTACAGTAAGAAGGCAAACTACTGTACTATTAAGCCCTCTAATATTTCTCTTCATGTATTCCCCAAGTGGACAAAGTGTAGTCCACAGACCATACAGAGCCTCCAATACTGTTCTGATAACCCATAGACCCAAGGCACCTGTCCACTTATGCTTCCTCATGCAAACATGTTTTTCATTGTAAAAAAAAAAAATTATTACTGCTTTTGGAGACCTCTAGGAGCAGCAGTGTTTTCATCATCTGCCCCCTCATTCGACTTACAGACTTTTCGACTTGCAGCCACCATTCCAATACGGATTAATTCCTTAAGTAGAGGGTCCACTGTAGAACCAAGGCACCTGTCCACTTATGCTTCCTCATGCAAACATGTTTTTCATTGTAAAAAGTTTTTTTATTACTGCTTTTGGAGACCTCTAGGAGCAGCAGTGTTTTCATCATCTGCCCCCTCCTCCAAACGTCTTGCTTTGTTCACTGTAGTGAACAAATACAGTGCAAAAAGCCCCAAAGTCATGCAAAAACACAAAATACAAGATGGGATGTCCAGACACTCTCTTTTCTTTTCTTTTCTTTTTTTTTCTTCTCTTATCTTCAAAGCCTTATGAAGTTACTCACCCCTTTAATAAATGCAGCCTTTTGGGTGTGTGAACTCATTGCAAGCTAACATTTTGGCACACAAATGAAATATCAATGCTTTCAAAAGAGAGTTAAGGTAACTTTGTCTAGAATCACTGGAAGGACACAGAATTACATTAGCCAACATAGACAGTGAGTTCATCCATACAATAATTACTCAATTGTGGGTTGTTAAATTATTTATTTTTTCCCCTTACAATTCAGTTTATTTGGAAACAAATGCTACTGATTTCAGCTAAACTTTATTCCAAATATGTACTCATTAGCCTCCAGTCAGTAGGCATCGAATTGTCTTAATTTACTTATTTCTCTTTCTTGCTCACGTTTACTGTACTTCTACAAAATATTTATTTTTCCCTCAAATTGAGCTCAGAAACAGGTTTTTGAATGCCACTATTTTAACATACATAATTTCTGTATCTAGTTATAAGAATCTGATTCAATTTTAAAAGCATAGTGATTTCTGAAACATCAGATTGTCAGGTCTAGTAGACTGTCAGGTTTATTCAAGTTAAAAAAGTATTTAATATGTTAACAATTCATTTCTAATATTCAAATAATTCACATTTTTCAATAAATGAATGAATATTCCAATAAATAAGTATATATTCAATAAATACTATACCCCTGGCTACCCAGAAACCCATGAGTTCAACACTGAATGCGTTAAAATGATCTACTTAGTCCCAAGCACAACTTCTCTAATTCAGCCTCTAGATCAAGGGGCCATAAGGACCTTTTAGGCTTATTATACATAGAACTGTATGGAAAAGATTGTCAGTGATATGGAAGAGAGCCCTGATAGAGAAATCTGATCTCTTTCTCTCTGTGTGTGCTTTGTAGTTATGTTTTGGGGGACATAAGAGTTATACATGGATTCTGAACCCCTAAACCCCAATGTTATTGAAGGGAGAAGTGTACAAGACTGTGGATGATCTTGTTCCTGGTCTCCTGTGACACATTCTTACACTTGATGATGTTTTCTAATTCTTTCATTGCTACCCTTCTGAGCCTCAGTCTTCTTCTGATTTCTTGGCTGCATTCTCCATTTGGATTGTGATTTGATTTAGCATCCAGTTATTTGTCTTTCTAAAAGACAAATGGTATCCATACAGTTCTTCATCAGTACCATATTTGATTCAGATAAAAAAAATTCTGTCAACATAACTTCCACTATCCAGTTATCACTATTTAAATTTCTTCATTGTCAAAATTCAAGTTAATAAGTTCTTCTGTAATCATGATTTTTGTCTTTTTAAACTTCAACTTCAGTCCTTCTTTTGCACGTCTTTCACTTTAATCATAAGTTGTTTTGAGTTGATTTGAGCCATTTCTGCTTTCTGTCAGTAATATGACGTTATCTAAATATCTTGAATTATTAGTGTTTCTTCCAACAATTTCCTCCCTCATCTGAATCTAATCTAACTTTTCATATGATAATTTCTGCAAATGGATTGAAAAGACAGGGAGATAAAATACACTCTTTGCCTATGAAAAACCATTCTGTTTCTCCATTTAGAAATAGCTATTCGCATTTTTCTAGTCTTCTGGAAATAATTTGGTTTGTTCCAGTAATAAACTTCTTGTTATGTCTGTTTGTTTTTACCAGATTAGTAGCCACATTGTCTACATTGTCTGTGGGTTTGAATACTCTTCTTAGAAACTATATTCTATGGATATAACATTTCAGAGCATTAAACAGCTTGAATATTGGAACTAGTGTAGCCTTAGCTATTGAAAAATCATTGCATACTTTTTATATATTTTGCAGACAGAGAAAAAATAATGAAATGATACTGAAATGCTTTTTACTTCCAAACTTAGTGCAGGGGCAAATGATGTTCTTTCTTTAATATAAATATGTTTATTTAGGCACCAATTTCGAACACTTTTACTGGAGACACTTCATTGAATCCAGTGAGACTTACTTCTGTGTAAACAAACATAAGAGTGCACCAATAGACTACATTTGCTATATCTGTTACATGTTGGATAATATCAAGTGTGGCAACAGTCTGCCATGCAGCACGGTGGCTAGGTTTTTGGGGAAAGGTGCATGTTATATGCTTAGTGAAGAAAATAATGTTGTGAAGACAAGGATTTGAGGTATCTTACAGGTGCTTTGTTTGTCATTTTCCACAGTCAAACTCCTTCAACAGAGTTTGCTAAATGGCCTTTATCAATAAATAGTAATGTTGCAGTAAAACTAACAGGCACAATCATTGCCTAGTGGTGGTAGTGCTGGTTGTAACTGAAGTAATAATTATAGTCTGCAATCCGTTGTGCCCCTTCAGTTTCATGGAAAGCACTTTAATCTGTTTATTTATAGGATTGCATTTTCATGCAAATCTCAGATTCACAGGGGCCTCCTGTATATATAGACATTCTCACTCATATCATGGGGCAGGAGGGGAGTGTTGCTGTGCACACAATCAATTTCAGCATGAGGAAGGCTCCATATGTATTGGAATGCCAGAGTTTACATTAGATAGAAGTTGTTGTTGTTTAGTCATATCTGACTCTTCGTGACCCCATGGAACAGAGCATGCCAGGCCCTCCTGTCTTCCACTGCCTCCTGGAGTTGGGTCAAATTCATATTGGTAGCGTTGATGACACTGTCCAACCATCTCATCTTCTGTCATCCCCTTCTCTTCTTGCCTTCACACTTTCCTAACATCAGGGTCTTTTCCAGGGAGTTTTCTCTTCTCATGAGATGGCCAAAGTATTGGAGCCTCAGCTTCAGGATCTGTCCTTCCAGTGAGCACTCAGAGTTAATTTCCTTCAAAATAGATAGTTTTGTTCTGCTTCCAGTCCAGGGAACTCTCAAAAATCTCCTCCAGCACCACAATTCAAAAGCATCAATTCTTCGGCAGTCAACCTTCTTTATGGTCCAGCTCTCACTTCCATACATTGCTATTGGAAAAACCATAGCTTTGGCTATGCGTACTTTTGTTGGCAAGGTGAGGTCTCTGCTGTTTAAGATGCTGTCTGGGTTTGTCATCGCTTTCCCCCCAAGAAGGAGGTGTCTTTTAATTTCATGGCTGCTGTCCCCATCTGCA